TCCCCCCGCCCCGCCGGGATGCGGCGCCGCCGGGCCCCGCCCCCTTCGCCTCGCCCGACCAATGGGCGGCCGCGCCCCACCGTACGCCCCGCCTCTCGCCCGGGCGGAGGTCTCAGCCAATCCGCGCCGCCTGGGGGCCGCCCTCTCCACCAATCGGCGGCCGCGGGGCCCACCGGCCCGCGCCTTCCTGCAGGGCCGCGCCCCCGCCGTGGCGCAGCGCCGCCGCCCCGCGCCGCGCGCTCCGGTACCGGGCGCTGCCTCCCCCGGCTGCGGCACCGCCTGGGGCCGCCCCCCAACCCCCACCCTTGGGCCTGCCGCAGCCACGAGGCCCCTCCGCCTGCGGTCTTCCTATCAGATCGGCCTATAGGGCGCGGCGGAGGCTCCGGGCCCCGCGCAGGGACGGCTGCTGTGACCTTGGGCCGCTCCACCTTCGTTCGGCTCCGCGCCGACAACGGGAGAACCGCGCCCGGCCCAACCCGGGCCCCTCATGCCCGGGGCTGACGGTACAGCGGTTGCCCAGCACGGAGCACGGAGCCCCCACTCCTCACCCCTCCGCCGGGGGCGGCGTCCTGCTCGGCGCCCCCCAGCCCTGCTGCCGCCGGTCCTCGTCCTGGGGATCGGCCACCACCGGGAGTTGCTGGGGCAAAAGGAGCCCCACCTTCAGCTCAGCGCCCACATAGCGCCGCACCGTGCCAGCTTCTAGAATCGGGAAGGCAGCCTTGCTCCCTGCACAAGGTCGCATCCTGCCCCAGACGCCTGCAGTGCGTTAAAGCCACGGGGGAGTCGAGCAAAAGCACAAACCCTGAGTTTGCAACCCCGCGGGAGGAAAGCTCCAGCTCTGCAGCCAGCACCGAGCCTGCAGGCGAGCAGGGAGTGAAGGTTCCAGACAAAGACACCAAAAATAAGCAGTTGTGGGCAGCACCATCCCTACAGTCTGTGGGGTTTCCTCACGGTGCCACTGGGGGCTGCCCTCCGAGCCGGGCTGTGGGGCAGCAGGCAGGGAATGGGGGTGGGAGGTGGGCAGAGCCCGAGTGCTCCAACATGGGGACAGCACGGCCAAGGAGCAGCTGGGAGGGAACGGCCACACACGTGGCCTTACAGGAAGCAAGTCAAAGTCCTCCCTCTTTCCACACACAGGAATTACCTCTCAGTTATCAGGCCAAGAGCCAGACATGTGAACGTTGGCGCCGCGCTGCCAGTTCCTCCCATTGCCTCAGCGACTCCTCCACACTCACACATCCTACAGCAGCGCTGCTCAACCGCAGCAAAGCTCGACCCAAAGCGACCACCGCCACCGTCCCTCCTGCCTGCACGTGTTCAAATGCTCTCCTTCCGTGGTTTCCTGCCTCCTGCTGTGCTAAAACCATGTGACAAAGCTCGAGGTGCCCACAGGGGATGGGGAGCAATGGGCTGCATCCCAACGCGGCTCCTCACCGAGTTCAGAACACGAGACAACAGCAGCAACGCTGGGAATGCCCAACAGAGCCAAGCAGCACCAACACCCACGCGTGGCTGGGGAGATATTGAGGCTGAACAGGTCGTGACAAAGAGACCAGTGCCAAAAAGGAAAGGAAAAAAAAAAAAAAAGAGGAGCTCCTAGCAGGGACCGATTGCATCACAACATCTGAAAGGTTATGCTCAGACAGACAGAAAAAATAAACCACTTTCCAGTTCACCTCTCCCCACCCCTCTCTGATGAAAACCAAGCTATAAACGTCTCAGCTGGATGAACTCCAGAGCCAAGTAACCCAACCACCCCGCTGACACCTGGGATGAGGCTGTTACCCAATGCCTGTGTTTATTTCCCAGCGTTATTTGACGGGTTTCACAACACAAAGCTTTGTGCACGTGCTGAAATGCCGACCCCAGGCCCCTTCCTCACCTTTCGGTATCACTTTCCAACCAAGAATACAGCAAACAAAAGTGGAAAAGCACCCTGAGCGTATAGCAAGCGTTCAGGAGCACGCTGTGCTTCGGCCCCACGCCATTCCCATGGCCACGTGCTCATCACACAGCACACGCAAAACACCAAACTCACATCAACAGCCAGCAAAGAAGCCAAAGCCAGGCCACCCCCCAAGGCAAGACATAAAGAAGGAGCCGCCTACCTCTTTGGTCAGGTCCCCGTTCACTGGGGCAGCCACAGCTCCCAGGTCCTCCAGCTCTTCTCCAAAGCCCTGCTCAGCCCCGTTCTCCCTCACAGCACCATCAGGACCGTTGCCATCCTGCAGAGCACCGCCGTTTTCGAGGGCGATGCCGGCGCTGGGCTGGGTGCCGGACACGGAGCCGTCGGGGTCACGGTGCACCAACCAGGCACTGACTTCAGTGCTGGGCACTTGAAATCTGTCCAGTGCCCTCACCTGGTTCAGCAGCCTGCGAGCAGTGAAGTAATAGTCCAGGTCTACGCTCTTTGGGTGGATGCCATACCCGTCCAAGGTGTTGCGTAGGTTGTGAAATTGGGTCTGGGTGTACGCAGAGCTCTGGCCAAGAATGATCTCCCGGAGAGGGGGGAGCTGGGAGTTCAGGTAGGTGTCCACGTCCACGCGAACGCCGATCAGGCTGAGCAGGATGGTGAACTGGATGAGGCCTTCCGTGAAGTATTTCTTCAGAGAAAGCATTTCTGGAAGAGAAGAAAAAGAAAACAGGTGGAAGGTTAGGCAAAAAAAAAAAAAAACAACAAAACAAAACAACCGACAAGAAGCCAGCAGGTGGATCCAGCTCACAACAGGTCTCTCGGGTTGCTCCTTCCCCTGCCCCACTTTTAAACAAAATAAAGCAACACTTTCAGAGTCGGAGTTACAGCAGAGCTCTGCAATAAAACTTCCCAGTGGAAATCCCTTCGGCTCGGGGACGAATCCAGCTTTCCTTTCCAGCTCCGAACCCTCCGGATCCCACCTCAGCGTCCCCACAGACCCGGGGAATCCATCCCCCTCCCCCGCCCCCTTTTCCTCGCTCCCTCCACTTACTGCCCGCGGTGCCCACATGCAGCGCACGGGACGGCCCGTCCCGCTCCCCTACGTTCTCCGCGGAGCTCCGTACGGGGCAGATCCGAAGTTGCCGAGCCGCGTTTCGGGACCTTTCCGGGAGCTGAAACCGAACCGGGGGCGCTGAGGAAACACGGAAGGCCCCGCCCGGCCGCAGCCCGGTGGGTGCACGGAGCCGCCCCGCCCCGCGCTATTCTTAGGCCGTTGCGTCAACTTCACCACGAGGGGCTCCCGCTGCCGACCGCCGCCCCCCCCCCCCACAGCCGCCGCCGCCCCTCCAGGCCCCGCCGAGCTCTCCCCGCAGCACGGCGGCCCCGCGTGAGGCCCCGCCGGGCCCGGCCTCCCCCGCCGCCCCGCCCCGGGCCCTTTAAGGCGCCCTCAGGCCTCGTGACGCGGCCCCGCGTTCCGTCCGCGCCGCCGGCCCCGCCCGCCGCTACCCGCTCGCCGCCGCCGATCGCTCCCAGCCCCGCCGCCGCCGCCGCCGGCCCCGCTCCCGCCCCCCCCCTCCTCCTCTTCACACCTCCTCCCGCGGCGCCTCCGCCAATCGGCACCCGCCCATAGGAGGCGGGACGAAGCGGTGGGCCAATAGGAGGTGGTGCGGAGGAGACGCTCCCGCCTCTGTCGCCGTGCGGACGGGCAGGCGGAGAGACCAATCGGAGAGCGAAAAGAGCGGTTTGGACCCAGAGCTGTGTCCGGAGGACCAATCGAGGAGGAGAAACCGGCACAACGGCACCGCCTTCCGCGCGGATGAATGACGGGTCGCTAGCCCAACGGAGTGCGAGGCCCTAACCGAACGACAGCCCCAACTACCAATGAAACGACGTACAGGAGCCAGCCGCCCGTCCGGAATCTTGAGTGACGGCAGCTTGCACCAATCGCGACGGAGCGCGGGCTCCGCCCCTTTTTCCCGCTGCTGTTGCCATGGCACCGAGCGCCCCAGGCCTACAGCGCAGGGCGAGGCTCGGGGCCGGTCGGCACGGCCGGCATCTCCGGGCCGGGTGACCTCGGGCCTCCTAGGCAGCCACCCGGCGAGGCCTGCGGTGCGGACACAGCTCCCGTGCTGCCACAGCGCTCCGCAGGTGGAAGGCCGAGGGCTGCGGTGAGTCAGGGCCGCACTCAGGGCCAGCGCGAAGCCCCGCGCTTCCCTTTCCTCATTACTCCATTCCTCGCTAATTAAAGTCTTTAATCTCACGCACCGGCAGCTGCCCAGAACCATGACACTCCCACAGCATTGGAGGCCTGACGGCATCACCTCACACAGCCGCAAACGGCTCTGCAGGAACGGCAGCAAAAAGTCAGCCTCATCCTCACCTGTACCCCGCAGCTCTGTGGGATGGGATGTCCCGCCAGATCCACGGCTCAGCAGCCCTTGCACCGATGGAAGGGCTGGAAACCGATCATAAAATAAACACAGAGGCAGCGTTATAAAGCCCTGCCGCCTCGGCGTGATTCCATCCCCATCGCTCGGGTGGCAGCCGGGCAGCACCGCCCCTGCTCTGCTATTTCTGCCACGCTTGCAGCTGCCCAGAGCAGCAGCCAAAAGCAGACGCCCGCGTCCTGCCCCAGAAACAAACAGGATGCCAAAGACAACAGTTCATCTGAAAATGTAGCAAGTGAGCTCAGGCTCCGATGCCCAACTGCAGCGCTGGCTCTGCTGGGGGGCAATAACTGGGCTCCAGGTGGGGGCTAATGCAGCCCTGCTGGGGCTGTGAGCAGTGAGTGCCCGTGGCTGGGTGATGTTAGCCAGCAGTGAGGCCCTTTTTCACCGCTCAGTGTTGTCATCGGTAAAAAGTTCCCTCGAGCAGAGCTGGGAGCCGAGAGACAAACAGCACAGACCCCCCCCCAAAGCAGGACTGCCCCAGTTACAGAGCACCCCTACCTGGGAGCAGTACACAAAGCACAGGACGAAGACCAGGCGGGGTGGCAGCAATGGATCCAAGCAGCTCGGTGGTGTGGGCTCGCTCTGCCCCAGCCTCACTAATCTGCAAAACAACCAGCAAACACCTACGAAAGATGGGGTGCGGCCCCAGCCCACGTCTTGCTGCAACCCTCAATCCGATGAGGTAATGGTGGCGGGCAGGGAGGGCACAGCCCCACAGCGAGAGCACACCAAACCCTACAGCTGCTATAGGCTCCCAATGGGGCTGGAGAGCACGAGGACAGAGCTGTGTCCTGTGGGGAACAGGAGTGCATTAGAGAGGCTTGAAACCCCTCCTCGTGCCTCCCCATGGGATGGGGGTGGGCAGCGGGGCCCAAGGGTGCTGTCAGAAGCAACCTGAGCTGCCTGCCCCCAGCTGGGATATTTTTAACCCCTCCTCAGCAATGGGGGTTTGTTGTGTGCCGGGCATTAAGGCACATCGATGCACCGGTGGCATTTGTCGTGCACAAGGCTGAAGCCGGGGGTGAAAGGACACAGACACCCTGCTGGCCACTGGCCCCCAGCAGCCCCTCTCCAGCTCCCACCCTCAGCATTAATAATGCCAAGGGAGTCCTTAAGCATAATGAAGGAGAATGGATTCATTGCTCCTACACCACTTTGCTGCAAGCCCAAAAGCCACCAGGCTGCACCTGGGCCTCTCCCCAAACCCCTCTGCTCTGTCCCAATTAAAGCTTCTATGTCAATTAAAGCCTCTGTGCCAATTAAAGCCTCTGCATCAGCTCAGTCTCCTCTCCAACAGCTGTGCCGGGACCCAGGGGTGCCTCCAGCTGGGGCTGAGCCGCAGAGGTCACCATTCCACACCAACCCTTTGGAGGCAACGGTGACATTTGTGACATGAGCATCGAGCCACCCTCTGTAGGTGTGTGACTGCGGGTCGTGACCCTCATCTCATCACAGCGCAAGGCTGGTGGGACACCGTGGGACCCCTGGAGGGTCCTAAAAGAGGCCGTGAGCCCGCTGAGGTGGGCGCTCGCAGCCCTGTGAACCCTGGGCCACCCAGCCGTGTGTGCCCACACCTACAGGGGCTGTGGGATCACGGGGTGGACGTGGTTCCATCGTCACCCCACAGAGCACCCCAATCACAGAGACCCCCCCCCAATATCTCCCTCTAGCCGCTCCGCGGAGGGGCTGTTTTGCATAGCCCCGCCCTTTCGCTGCACGCACACCTAATATGGCACACGGCCACGCCTCCTTCTCGTTTAGCCCCGCCCTTCATCTGAATGCGCCCTCCTCGCTCCGTTCGCAGTCCTGCAGCGCCCCCTGCCGGCGGCACGGCGCAGTGCGGGGCCTCTGAACCACGCCTCCCTCCGAGGAGGGGGGGGGAAACCAGGGGGGACAAAGCGGGGACAAAGCGACGGCGCTGCCGCCCGGGGTGTCACATCCGTCCCTGGTGCAGCTGTCGCCGAGTTGGGCATTGTTCTAAGGAGGAGAATTAGAGCCCCTTCAGCAGCTGCGCCACAAATAAGGGGGGGGTGGGCAACGTAGAGCAGATGGGCGGCCTGGGGAATTGGGAATTAAAGCCACCCCCCGGCACGGGACCCGGCTGGAGCCCAGAGCTCTGCATGTCACCTCCCCCCCCCCCCCCCCCCCCCGGCCCCCCCCCCAAAGGGGGGGGGGGGGGCAATAGACTGCGGGGGGGGGGAGTGGTCAGGGGGTGACGCCCATGGGTGTGGAAGACCGCCCCGAAGGTGCTGGGGGGAGTTCGGCCATCCCCTGTCCTGTGCAGCCCAATGGTGGCAGGGGCGAAGCTCTGCCTTCCCCCTCCCATCTGCCGGAGGGGGGGGGGGAGTGTTGGGGGCAGAGGGTCGTGGTGGTGATTAATGGGGACCATCGCTCACTGTCCATAGGGGTGCGTGGCCCCCCCGCCCCACCCTGCCATAACGAGCGGGAGGAATAATGAGCGATGTCACTCCACTTTTCATCGTGATGGAAAGTCATTACCGGAGTCACCGCTGGCGACAACGAGCCATGAATCAACCGCTCTGCTATGAAATTAAAATCGAATTGCCCACCCTCGCCCCCACCTCCCAGCTCTGGGGAGGGCTGCACAGCTCGGGGGGGGGGGGGGTTCATCTCTGGGCTGGGGGTTCCTCTCCTTCCAGCGCTGAGCCCCTGTGTGGACGGAGCACAAGAGATGCATGGGGAACAGCTGCAGCTTTATTCAGCAGTGCCAAACCCCAGGCTGAAGCCACGCTACCATGGTGGGGGGTTTAAGGGGCAGCAGGACCTCACTGGAGGTTCCAGCTCACAGTGAGACCCCCATCAGATGCACCGGGCGCCCGCCATAGCGCTTGGAGATGTCAGCTTCGATCTGCAAGAGAAAGCCCAAGGTCAGGGGAGGGCGTGCAGCAGGGGAGAGGCCGGGGGCAGCCCTGCTTGGACCCTCACCAGCTGCTGCAGCTCCCGGGTTCGCTCCTGCAGGCGATCCAGCTTGGGCTCCAGCACACCCTGCTCTGTCAGAGCCTCGTGCCGCTTCCGGCTCAGTGCCTCCCGCTTGGCCAGCAGCAGCTCTGCTTGGTTCAGTTTCTGCTGCAGCATCTCGCTCACACGGTCCACGTACCTGTACAGGGAGAGCAGCTCCTGCTTCACCTCCAGGATCCTCCCAGTCTGCCCTCCCCAGCCCTCCAGTTCCCCAAATTTTCCCAGTGAGGCGACCTGGGGGAGGCGAGGATGATGAAGAGATGCTGCATGCGGCGGGTGCTCAGCTGATCCAGCAGCGCCCTGGTGCTGGCCAGCAGTGTGCCCACACGGGTGCTGGTTTGGCCCTGCAGGACAGCAGGGGCCAGCTGGAACTGGCTGGCAGCCAGGACATCGGCCTCCTCCTCCATCTCCACCAGGCGCTGAGCCAGGAACAGCTCCAGCTGTGGGGAAAAGGACGCTGTGGGGAGGGGGGGGGGGGGGAAAAAGGGGGCAGCCAGAAACCCAACCTGTGCTTGAGCCGCCCCAGCGCTGCTGCTGCTCACCTCCATGAGCTCATCAATGAATTGGTTCCGTGTCACAGCATTCTCCAGCAGCGTCAGGGCATCGGAGCCACGGGCAACTGCCTCAAGTTCTGGGGGACGAAAGGGGTCAGCAGGGAAGGGAACTCTGTGGTTTCCACACACCGGAACCCACCCGTCCCCTTTGTGACCATACTCACCCTCAGAGCCATCCTCCAACACCGTAATCTGTGCCTCATTGCTTTCAGCATCGCCCCAGTCAATGCCGCTGTCCTGCAATGAAAGAGAGAATGGCTGGTGACTGCAGGGCACCTGCAACAGCCCCAGGCATGGGGCCAGGCCCCAGGAGCAAGCAGCCAGCACTCACCTGTGGGCTTGGCTCTACCACGATGCCCCAGTCGATCTCATTATCCTGGGCTTCCCCACCTGCAGCAATGTTGTCAGCGTCACCCCCACCGATCGGCTCCAGCGTGAAGTCTCCCCAGTCAATCTGCAGCAAAAAGGGCAATGGGACTCTGAAACCCAAAGGACACAGGCTCCCTTCCAGCTGCAGCAAACAGCCCCAGGCACTGCAGCACCATACCGTGTCCTCCTTTGGCTGCTCCGGCACCACCTGCACCTCTGGCTTCTCCACCCTCGCTGGCTCAAACCCCGTCCTCCACTCATACACGGTTGTGTTGCCTTTGCTCCCCACGTACCGCAGCATGGGCACCACGGGCCCTTCTGAGCTGCCATAGGGACATCAGCAGCAGATGGAGAGGCCGCGATTCCCCCTCCCTACCGGGGTGCTGCTAAGAGACCCCCAGGGACAGCAGTGCCCCCACACCCACCTCTGGCAAACAAACTCCACGCAGGCCTGGTACAGCTCGATGGCCACAGAAAGCGCACCAACTCCTGCTCCAACCTCAGAGAGCAGCGAGGGCAGGTCCTGCACCAAGGCCAGCAGCTCCTGGCGCACATTGCTCCCCTGTGGATGGAGCAGGGACACATTGGGGCAGGGAGGCACACAGCCGAATTTCTTCTGGACTGCTTACAGAGCTGGTCAGGGGGCCGTGGGGTGACTCTCCCCATACAAAAGGACACGGGGTCCCATAACAGCACCAGGGGACTCACAGTGATGCCGTACTGCTTGCAGGAGGCATAGAAGCGCTCCCGCAGCTCAGCAGCTGCCAGCTGGCACTCCTCCTCACGGCGGGCCAGGTCCTGCTGGGCCTGCTGGCAGCGGGTGATCTGCTTGCGCAGTGCAGGGACCTCATAAGTGACATTACGCACCAGGAGGGCAGCGAGCTCAGCTGTGGGGTGGGAGAACCATGAGGAGCTGCGATGGTCCCCTATGGCGCGCTGCGTCCTACCCCCTCCCTGGGCACCTCGCAGCCGTACCCAGGTAGGTGTTGTCCTTCTCATAAAGGGCCACAATCTCCTGCCAGTCCTGGGAAGGGGGAAGCAGAGGGTGAGGAGGGCACAGGAGCGGGGCACCCGTCCCCATCCCTGCTCACCTTCATGCGCTGGGATGAGTATCGCCCAAAGAGGTTCTTGGAGGAGGCCTCGGTGCCCCTGAGGATGTCCACGATGCGGAGGCAGTGCGAGTAGTGAATGGCTGTGCAGAGAGGAGAGAGGGGGGACAACGCTGTCACGGGGCTGATGCCCGGGGAGGGGGGGGAAGCAGGGTGAAGGGTCGTTCAGGTTTCTTTCACCGGCGCCCGCCAGCAGCTGTGTGATCTCCTCGTGCTCGGGCATGTCCTGCAGTGCAGCCTCGATCTTCTGTCGCACGGCGCTCACCTGGGCCTGCCAGCGCAGGCCGCAGTGCCGCCGGTCCACCAACCAGTCTGTGGGGGGGAGGGGGGGCGGTGAGCGGCCCGAGCTGCGGAGCACGGGGAGCTGAGGAGGCCGCACTGCCCGCAGCCCGCCGTACCCAGCAGCTTGCCGGTCTGGATGTCGATGGGCACATCCTGGTAGTCCCGCGGAGAGGCCTGCGGGAGGGAACAGACCTGACCTCTGACTCCTGACCTCTGACCCCTGAACTCCGGTCCCGCTGCCCACCTGCATCCCGCCTGCTGCGCGCCGCTCGCTGCCGCCGCTTCCGCTTTCCCCCGCCTGGCCCCGCCCCTCCACCTCAGCCAATCCTCGCCGCGCACTATACGGGGCAGCCAATCCAGAAACTCAATGCTCCGTGAGTCCCGCCCCGCTTCCAATCCGGAGGACGCGGCTGATGGACAGTGCCACGCGCCGCTCCTCCGATTGGCGGAGAGGTGGCGGCGCTCTACCAATGGGAGCAGGGAGCTGTCGGGAGGGCGGGGCGCAGCCGATGGCCGAGGGAGGAGAGGCGAGCGCATGCGCGGTGCGATGCGGGGCTGCGCCGTGTCCTGCGGTGTCCCCACGAGAGGTGACCGCGATGGCCGCGTCCCCACAAGCTGTGTCCCCATGAGCCACTCCTCCACGGGCCGCGTCCCCGTAGTGTCCCTACGAGCCACGTGTGTCCCCACGGGCCACGTTCTCATGAGTGGTGACCCTGCAATGTCCCTATGAGCCACGTCCGTGCGATGTCCCCATCAGCTGCATCCTCATATCCCACAGCCCCATGAGTGCCGGCCCTGTCGTGTCCCCATAGCCCGCGCCCCCACACCATAGAGATGACAGCATGGCACCCTGCTCTGTGCTGGGCACTGAGAGGGTTCCATGCTTCCTTCCAATCCCCGGTTGCACTCCCAAATCCAATGTGACAACAGGGACGGGGTGGGGGGGGGTCCTTCCCAGTGCCACCCCATGGCTCAGCCACCACTTCCCCGTCATGAATATTCAGCACAGCGTTGGCCCGGCCCCGCTGTTTGCTCAAGCAGGAGTGGTTTGCTCTCGGGTTCACCTTGACTCAGAGCAGCGGGGCAGCAGCAGGTGTGGGGCCCCACGTTGTCCCCAGGCCGCTGAGCGGGGCAGGAAGCTCAGGTAGGGCATCACGGTGCTGTCGGTGGGAGCGGGATGGCTGAGGCCCCAAGGTGGCCATATCCAGGTGACAGCAAATTGTCCTGGGAGCTTCTCATGGCCACGTCTCCATTGCCAGGGTCTGTGAGATGTGGTGGCCTTTCCCCCCTGGCCTGGTACTCCAAAAGCAGCAGTGGAGGCACAATGCTGTGTCGGGTGCCAGAGCTGGGATGTGGGATGGGGTCTGATCTGTAGGATCTGGAAATGTTCAAGGCCAGGTTGAATGGAGCAGCCCGGTCTGGTATTAAATGCGGAGGTTGGTGGCCCTGCATGTGGCAGGGGGGGTTGGAAATTCACGATCTTTGAGGTCCCTTCCAACCCTGGCCATTCTGTGATTCTGTAGGGTCAGTGGAGGCACTGTGTGGGCACAGGGCTGCTGTCCCCGCACCAGGTTGGGGCCTGGAGGGCTGGGAATCCCCTTCCTGCTGTGCTCACCTCAGCCACAGCAAAGAGGGAAACCATGCGGCTGGGTGAGCTGTGCCGTCACGCTGCCCCCTGCCACTTCCCCATTCCCCTTCCTGGCCCCGTAACGCTGCCACCTCCCACCCAGGTGCCCCGCAGTCATGGCTGAGAGCCACAGCTGGTGGAAGCTGACCTTCCTGAGGAAGCGTAAATCCATGCCCAAGGTGCTGTATGACAGCCCCGACATCCACGCCGGCGATGGCCCCGAGGGTTCAGCTGAGGAAGGGACGCCCGACTTCGCCGCCCGCCTGGAGAAGATCGTGGATAAAAACACCAAAGGGAAACACGTCAAGGTGTCCAACTCCGGCCGCTTCAAGGAGAAGAAGAAAGTCAGGCCCACGCTGGCTGAGAACCCCGGGCTCTGTGCAGACAGCGAGCGAGAGGAGAAATGAGGCTGGGAGGGGGCAGTTCGGGTCCATCCTGCCCCCCCATGGACCCCCATTGCTGCCCCATTGGGATCCCTTGACAGAGCTGGGGGGCTCAGCGCTGCACCCCCCCCAATGGCACTTTGTTAGGAAAACGGACTCAGATAGGACTTTATTTAAGGAAAAAAAAGCAAGAATCCTATTTAAATGCAGCCCCGGTGGGCGCTGGCTGCTGGCTCACTGGGTGACAAAGGGGGGATGGATGGGGCAGGGAGCGCTGCAGGGCACAGCCCCAACGCCGTGCAGCCCCTCGCTGTGCTGTGGGGCACCCATGAGCAGCACTGGGCTGAGTCCTGCTGGCACAGGGCAGCCCAGGACAAAGCACTGGGGGCTCAGTTTGGCTGCAGGACCACTGGAGCCCCTTGGCTGCGTGCTGCCCTGAGCAAACACAGAGGTGACACCAGGACGAAGCCCTGCTCATCCCCAAAGCCAGAGGAGCTGCGCGGCCCTCTGTGCTGATCTTTGCACTGCTGGATGCAGCCAAGCCTGGCCAAAGGATGGGCAGCTGCTGAGGAAACCATTGGGAGCTGGGAGGGCTCCAGGTTTCCCAGCAGGAGCTGCGTTGCTGCCCAGGACCGGGAATTGCTCTTTGCTCCCAGAAGGGGAGAGCTGCTCACAGACCGTGGCGAGGGAGCCGAGCTCACAGCCTCTTCTCTTTTTGCTGTTCTTATTTTTTTATTGTGGAAGCTGAGCCTTTCGTGAGGTCTTCCAACTGTTCTTTGCGAATAAAGCAGGTCTGGGAACAAAGGGAGCGTGGTGGCTGTGTGTGTGGCAATCCCAGGGAGCTGCAGGGTCTGGGGAAGCTCCAGGGCTCCGTTCTGAGCTCTCGGTGCAGCTCTGGCTGTGCTGTGAGTGGGGCCCACGGCACGCAGGGAACCCCCAGCCCCACTGCAGCACAACAGGAGCACCCACAGCCTGGCACCACGCCGTGCTGGAGCTGCCCCTTGGTGCCAGGATGGCTGCCCTGCCCACAGAGCGTACCTGAACTCACCAGGAAAAGCAACGGCTCTGTAACAACTGTAAAAGCTGAACTGTGCCAAAGCGCCGGGACCCAAACCCCGTTTCTGTGGCACAAAGCCTTTGCCAATGCTTCTCAGCAGCCCCCGCCCTGGCTGTTTGCACACTGAAGACGTGGGTTCACAAGGTGCTCTTTGTCCCATGCTGGCAGTGCTGCAAGGTTCCTGCCCAGAAGTGAAAGGAGGAAGGGGGGCAGCGGGGTGACGCCCATCACAGCAGCGTCTGGGCTCCAGCACCATGGGGACGCCTAGAGTGGGGGGTAGAAGCAGCTGTGCTTGTCACCCAGCATCACCCCAGAGCAGAACCGGCACCAGCAGAGCCCCCAGCCCCACACTGGGACATGCAATGACCACCCCACCCTACACTGCTGAGCACCACGGCGGCACTCAGCCAGGGATGAGCGCAGGGAAGGACCAAGGTGACTGCATGACTCAGTGCGACGGGGGCAGAGGGGCAGACGGAGCTGCTGGGGCAGGGAAGCACCCTGGAGAGCTGTGACGCAGCCGCCTGGCTCGGCCCAGCAGCTCCTTGCCGCCACCTCCCATCGCAGGCTGCGCTCAGTCCCAGGGGGTTCCCAGCTCCTGCAGCACAGCACGAGGATGTGGGTGGACCTGAGCCACGTGAGGACCCTCCTGACCCCCTGCTGCCCCGAGAGCCAGAGGCTGAGTGCACAAGTGCACGGAGCTGGGAAAGGGGGAAGGTTATCAGCGCCTGGTTTCACTGGGAAACGGCCCAAGAGCAGAAGAAGCAGAGGCTGAGCCGGCAGCACCATCTGCTGGGAAGAGCAGCCAAGCCCAGCTCTGCTGGGTAAACATTAACCCAAACACTGCACTGCTCCGCTCTGATCGAACTTTATTGTTTCCACGTACAGGCAGGGAGCGGCGCTGGTACAGATGGGGTGAGGATTGGGGTCCTACAGCCCCACGGAGATGGGACACACAGCCAGCCAGGAACACTCACAGCAACATCAGAGCCACAATTAAAGAAGTTATTGCACCGACTGAGCAAAAAGGCATGATTCTAGCTAAAACACAAGGCATGATTGGTCCCAGCAGCAGGGCAGGATGAGGGCAGGGGATTCACCAGTGCCCTTCCACAATCATTCACGTGATTAATTAACACCACCAGTCCCAAGGGCAATTGCTACTCACACGCTGGCAGTGGGAAGCAGGGGTCTGTGGGACCAACCCGCCTCTGCCTGCTGTGAGCACAAAGGGATCTGGGTTCTCTGGGGCTGAACTGAGCCCCCCCAGCACCACCAGGGAAGGGCAGAGCGAGGCCGCAGCTCCTCAGGACACAGCAGGGGGGACACGTGGGGGGGATTTGGCACAGGCGAGAGCATCCAGGAACGTGCAGCTTCATGGGGAAAGGCGCTCGAACACCCAGCCATCCTCACCCCGATGGGTCATTTGTCCCAGGGGGGCTGCGCTGTCCTGCAGGCGCCGAAAGACGATGCGGTCGTGCAGGCGGTTGGTTTGGCCCTGCCAGAACTCCATCACCTCCGGCTGCAGGATGTAGCCTCCCCTGGGGGAGAGAAATGCAGGTGGTGAGGGGCACTGCGGGGTGTGATGGAACCACGGTTCCCTACCGGCGTGGCTCACCAGTAAGCTGGCTTTGGCACTGCTGTGTCCCGGTATTGCTCCTCCAGCTCTGCGTTCTTCTTCCTCAAATACTGCAGGGAAAGGGAAGGTGTTGAAATCAGAGCAGGATCGTGGCGGCTGGGGGGAGCCCTGCTGGTCCCACCTCCCTGCTCACCTCTCTGTCTGGGATGACGGTGCTCTGTTGGCTGACCACTGCCCCAATCTGGCTGCCCTTAGGGCGGGAGTGGAAGTACTGCTCCGATTCCTCCTCCGACAGCCGCTTCACTGAGCCCTCAATCCGTACCTGGGCAAGGCAGGGACAGGCGAGCACTGGTTGCCTGGGGGCCCAACAGCCCCCAAAGCCCTTGACCTCCTCATCCCATACCTGGTCTGGGCTCTGTGTTGTTAAGACTCATGGAGTTGAGTTAGAAAGGACCTTTAAAGGTCATTTAATCCAATGCTGCAATGAACAGGGACACCTACAGCTCAGGCTCAGAGCCTCACCCAGTCTGACCTTGAAGCTCCCCAAGGATGGAGCATCCTCTCCAGGCAGCCTGTACCTCACCACCCTCGCTGCAAAAAACCTTCTCCTTATATTCAGTGTAAATCTCCACTTTCAGTTTGAAACTGTTTCCCCCCGTCCTATCCCAGCGCACCCTGCTTCAGCATCTGTTCCCTCCTTCCTTACAGCTCCCTTTGCACAGGCCCTGCCCCTCGCAGCAGGAAGGAACAACAAGCAGCCAAATCCCACCTGGAGAGCCCGAACCTGAAAGCACGAATCCCAAAATCCCACAGAGCCCCGAAGAGGGGTGGGAGAAGGGGGAGACGCGACCTCGCCCCACACCACGCACACACCTGCCGGTGGAGCGGCTCCCAATAGAAGACAACAGAAGCGAAGGGGTTGGCATCCTGAAACGTGGAAAGGGAGAACAGGAGAGAGCCGTCAGCGGCCACGCAGCTCCGGAACAGCTCCGCGGGATCCCCGCCCGCAGCCCGGCGCTCACCAGCTCCCTCCCCTTGCGGCTCTCGTAGTTGGTGAAGAAGCGGAACCCGTCGCGCCCGAAGCCCTTCAGCAGCACCATACGGGCCGAGGGCCTCCCGTCCCTGCGACAGCGGGCAGGGGGCGGTCAAGGCCTGGCGGCACGGCCCCCCACACGCCCCCAGCCCCGGCACTCACCTGCCGCACGTGGCCAGGCACATGGCGTTGGCCTCGCCCACAGCCGGGCACCGCGCCGCCTCCGTGAACCAAGCCGCGAACTGCTCGATAGGGTGCCGGGAGGCCAGGTGCCGCTCCTCGAAGGCCTGCGGGCACCGGGGCGATGTGAGGGTCGGGGGATCCCCGTGCCGAGGCCCCGCCGCCCCCGGCCGCCCCGCACCTCCTCGTCCCCGCGGTAGCCCATCCTCAGCGGCCCCAGGTCCATGGCGACGGCAGCGGAGCGGCACCGAGCGGCGCACCGCCGAACCCCGCGCTCCGCTATATCCCCGCCCCCCACAGATCAGCCAATAGAGAGCCGCGCTGCGGGGCGGCACCGCCCATCAGAGAGCCAATAGGAAGCGGCGTTGCGGCCGACCCCGCCCACCGGCCTCACCGCCCTTTCACAGGTGTTGAGCCAATAGGAAGGCGCGCCGCGAGGGCACCGCCCACCGGCCTCACGCCCATCTGGGAGCCAATAGGAAGCCGCGCTGAGGGAGGCACCGCCTACCGGCCACACCCCTGCTCGGGGGCAGGCAGCGCACAGCGCCCCCATGCGGTGGGAGGACGGGGGCACCGGGAGCGGGGCTGGGGGCAGCGGGGGGGGATGGAGGCGGGGAAAGGAGCTGGGCGGAGCGGGGTTTGCCTCTGGCGACCAAATTTATTGAGCAAGAAAAGCTCCCGGCTGCCTCCACACCGGCCAACCGGTTACAGGTAATTAGAACAGATCTGTCACAATGCAGAAAACAACCGTGGGCAGTTACAACTAAAAAATAAAGTGGATCTGTTTTAATTTAAAAGCTCAAAAATAACAAGCCATATGTTTTGTTTTGTTTTCTTTTCTTTTAAACGCAGTAAACACAAAAGCAATATAATCTATGATACAATGTACACTATACACAGTCCGGGTTGGGGGGGAAGCACATAAAGGAGATTAAAGTCCCAAGATTGAAAGGGAAAACGCCACGTCACTTGGAAACAGAAAGGAGTGAGAAAGAAATCAGAGTGAAAGGAACCTTCATTGCTGGAAAAGAAAGCAGGAGAGGGGGGGGAAGGAGAGAAGTGTGGAAAAAGGGGGGGAAAAGGGGGAAAAGGGGGAGAAAAGGGGGAAAAAGAAAAGGGAGAGGGGGAGGGCAGGTCTGAGGAGGGAGCAATTAAATAAAGATGGGGAAAAAAAGCACTCACCATACACAGTGTTGGTAATCGGGAACAGGGAACGTAAGGCAACGATCTCCATAGAAAAAAAGGGACCTTCCAAAGGGGTTTATATAGATATTTATAACTATTTATAGATTTTAAATATAAAGTAGGAATGTGCTGTGGAGGCGTTCTCGGCCCTCCCGCATCGGAGGGTGCAGCCCCTGGTGTGCCGAGCCCTGCGCGCCCCGCTGTGCCGGGGCCATGCCGGGTGCTTTGCCCCACGGCTCCACGAGGGGGATCGGCCCCTCTGCGAGGGCTGCTTCTGCGTGAAGCCCACACGGTGGCAGAGGACGTCCCCTGAGAGCTGTGCTGGAGGGGACGCGGCTGCCCTCAAAGGGCGGCCGGGGAGACTGGAGTGCTGTGAGGGCGGTGGGGTGACAGGTCGGCGCTTGACGGATCCTCACCGTGGCCCCTCAAAGGATTGGGGGAGGGGGGGGGGTGTTTTGTTTGTTCAAGACGTGGCTCCCAGCCCTACAAGTTCTTGGTGATCAGGTGGGTTTTATAGTGCTTCGTCAGGTGGTCGCTCCGCATGAAGCGCTTCTGGCACTGCGCGCACTCGAATCGCTTGTCGCCTGCGGGGAGAGCAGAGGCCGTCAGGGCTGGGGGACCTCGGGGATGTTGTCACCACCCACAGCCCTGCTGTGTCCCCACAGCTACCAGTCACAGCCACAGGGACCTCCCATGGAGGTGGTGATGCCCGTGGCAGGTCTCATTTGCAGCCCCATGGTGACCTTGACAGCCCAAAGGCAGCGAAATGCCCCTCAGTGTTCACAGAATCATAGAGTGGCTTGGGTTGGAAGGGACCTCAAGGACTATGAATCTCCAATCTCCCTGCCACACGCAGGGCCACCAACCTCCCCATTTAATGCCAGACCAGGTTGCCCAGGGCCCCATCCAACCTGGCCTTGAACACCTCCAGGGATGGACGGGGCATCACAGCCTCTCTGGGCAGCTGTTCCAGCACCTCACCGCTCTCACAGCACAGAACTTCCCCCTGACACCCAACCTCCATCTGCCCTCCCTCAACTTCAAGCCATTTCCCCTCGTCCTGCTGTTATCTCCCCTTGCCAAGAGTTGACTCCCCTCCCGTTTATAGGCTCCCTTTAGGTACTGAAAGGCTGCAATGGGGCTGCCCTGCAGCCTTCTCTTCTCCAGGCTGAACAAGCCCAGTTCTCTCAGCCCGTCTCTGCAGGGGAGGCTCTCCACCCCCCCGATCATCTTTGCAGCTCTCCTCCAGACCCTCTCCAACAGCTCTCCTTCCAATCCCTTCCCAGTATCTCTACCACATCCTAAAGACAATCCGAGGCAGCCTGAGATCACCCCAGCCCTCACAGAGCGTGGGCTACGATTCAGAGGGTCTCCCTGGGAGCGAGAGGGGTGCATGCAGGGCCACAGACCTGTGTGTGTGCGCGCGTGCCGCTGCAGCTCGTCGCTGCGTGTGAAGCGCTTCCCACAGAACACCCAGTTGCAGACAAAAGGACGTTCGCCCGTGTGCAGGCGCACGTGAGCACGCAGCAGTGAGGTCTTGCGGAAGGTCCGCCCGCATTCGGGGATGTGGCAGATGTGCTTCTTCTTCCCTTGGTCCCCAGGCCTGGTGAGGAACGCAGCGGGTCAGGCGTCAGCCCTGCAATGGGCGCAGACCCCCCCCCTGCTATGAGCTGAGCCCCCTCCCCTCTGTGCACCGCTCACCTCTTCTCCCCATCCTTGCAGTTGGGGCAGGTGCAGGCCATCCGCCGTCGTTTTTCTCCCGGCTGCATCTCCCCGGCCAGTGCTTGCTCCATCTGGAGCTGGATCTGGGTCGGGCTCAGGCCGCTGATGGTCAGATTGTTGCCAGAGACATTCTGCACAGTCAGCTGCTGTTGGCCTGGGGAGGGAAATGGGGAGTCAGGTTCTGCCCTGCGAGCCCCCGTGCCTGAGGGGCTGCCAGTGTCTCCATGCTGCGTGCACTGAAGCCCTGTGGAAGCGGCTGGCCGGGGGAAAGACCACACGTGTGGAATGGGAGGGACCCCAGCTGGGCACCCCAGCCCCACATGCAGCATTGCCACAGCCCCGCTGCTACATGCTGGCCCCAAGTGGGGCTGGTAAGTCCCTTTTTTTTTCTGAATATACTGTGCGGTTTTTCAAAGTTTTTGGTTTGACCCTTCGGGGTGGGGAAATGACCAAAGAGGAAACAAAAAAGAAACTTTGAAAAAACGTGCAATATATTGACCAAAAAAAATGGGACTTACCCCGGACCCTAAGGGCCGCTCCACGCTCGGGCACTCACGGAGGTGGCAGCCTGGGCCCTGCACAGCACCCGGGCAGCCGTGATGGGGGCTGGAAAGAAGAAGATGGGGTCAGCGTCAGCAAGCTCTGGGGGCAGCAGGCAAGGAGAAGGAGAAGGAGAAGGAGAAGGAGAAGGAGAAGGAGAAGGA